GGATACAGATTAAAATCAGCCAAGGGAAGGCGTATACAGGCCAGAATCCAGGAAAAGTACCAAATGCTGAATTTCTGGTTTTCATTTCTCCATAGTGTCATAATGCATTACATTCCGAACATCAGTAAGGGACAGTACTCATGAATGTTGCCAGTCTGGGAAGCTCACCCAAGCTTTCACACCCCGAGTTTATACTAGAGCTCTATTACATACCACCTGCAATGCTGATGTATCTGTTGCCAGAAACTCCAGAGGCAGACCCGGTACTTTGCCGCCCAAAACCGCCATCATAAGTCACATTGTTAGACTGCCTAGTGGCCAAACCACCAGGCAAACAAAGACATTTCTTTCAGGCATGACATTCCAAAGGTCTGGAGATCACCTCATAGCAGCTAAGGGCAACTTTGGGATCACTTTAGAAATTTTTCACTACACAGGCCACCTCTCCATCTCTGCCCAAGGCTCTCTTACAACAAAATGAGCCTATTTGTCTGAGCATCTATACTTAGTATTAGCATTTATAGAACTGATACATCAATAGTATGTGGTCATGCTTAGTAGGTGGAGTGATCCATGTGGAGCAGAGACTGGTTTAAGGAAACAACACATTTGTATACCTAACCCTGAATTACACCCTACATCAAGATAAAAAAATTTAAATTAATTAATAATAATAAAATGAAATAAACAACAAATTCATTCTATAAAATCATTACATTATAAATAGAAGCACCGGCCTTGCATGGTGGCTCACTCCTATAATCCCAGCACTTTGGGAGGCCAAGGTGAGAGGATTGCCTGAGCCCACAGGTTCAAGACCAGCCTGGGCAAATTGTTGAGACCTCATCTCGACAATAAATCAACAAAAATTAGCCAGGTGTGATGGTGCATTCCTGTAGTTCCAGCTACTTGGAAGGCTGATCTGGAAAGCTGGTTGACACCCTGTACAATTCAGGGTTAGGTATACAAATGTTCATTATGCAGATACCCTTGTTGATAAGGTGTGCCCCTTCCTCCCCTAGTAGTTTCCCACTACTGCAATCCCACCCCTCCCTTCACTGGGTGGCTGTGAGCATGCCACTGCACTCCAGCCTGGGCAAGAGAGTGAGATTCTGACTCAAAAAACAAAACAAAACAGCAACAGCAAAACCGAAGCACCAGCATCAGATGGTTAACTAGAAGAATCTGTCATTTTTCTTACCTATCACTCAAGTCAGTGTTACCTTCTCAATTCAGCACTATTGAATGGTGACCAGAATCATTGACACATTAGTTTTGCATTGATTTAATTGCTTATTTTCCTCTTTCACTTACCGACATTACTTTGGGTTAGGCTAATTCTTTACTACACACATTCTCTATTTCCAAGTCAGAGAATACATTCACATAGTTGGCAATACATACTCCTGTGAATATTCATTGTAACACTGGGTTATTTTTATCATACTCAACTAAATCATAGTTGAGGGGCCAGTAGGGGAAAAGCAGCAGGAGCACATAGCACCTGTTCCAATAATTATCCTCAAGTGCAACTATTGAAACAGTCTGATGCAACCTAAAGATCAGTTTTACCTTGTAGCTTCTGAAACAATCTGCCAACTCTAAGACTAGATTTATCTACTGTTGTCCCCCACCAATCAGGGCTCCCCAAAACTTCACTGGTGCCATTGAGTTTGTTTTAAAACAATATTTAACATTTCTCTAATAAAACTCCCTACTTTTTCTTTGCTCTTCAGACATACCAAAAACCACCTTGTCTGTGTATATGCACCAAATTGCAATTTGTTTTTATATACATTCCCAAAAGGTTTTGTATATTCATCTTGTGTGTGTGTGTGTGTGTGTGTGTGTGTGTGTGTGTGTGTGGCGGGGGAGAGGAAGGAGGGGTGGGGAGAGAGAAGAGAAGAGGGGGAGACTGGGTTTTACTCTGTGGCCCAGGCTAGAGTGCAGTGGCATGATCACAAGTCACTGCAGCCTCAAATTCCTGTGCTTAGGTAATTCTTTCACCTCAGCCTGCTGAGTATCTGGGAATACAGGCACACGCCACCACACTCAGTTAATTAACTTATTTTATTTTATTAATTTTTTATTTTAAAGATGTGGTGTACAATTCAGGGTTAGGTATACAAATGTTCATTATGCAGATACCCTTGTTGATAAGGTGTGCCCCCTCCTCCCCTGGTAGTTTCCCACTACTGCAATCCCACCCCTCCCTTCTCTGGCAGTTTCCTACTACTGCCAATCCCTTTTTTGAGTCAGAGTCTCACTCCTTTGCCTAGACCGGAGTGCAGTGGCACAGTCACAGCCATGCCAGCATTGACCTGCTGAATCCCTTTCTTAAAGTATTATAATTGCTCAAGGTCCAGTTATAAGTGAGAACATATGGTACTCAGTTCTTTGTTTCTGTGATAGAGCACTCAGTATTATAGACTCTAAGTCCATCCAAGTTGCTATGAAGTTCATGATTTTGTCCTTCTTTATGTCTGTGTAATATCCCAGCCTGTATTATATACCACTTTTTTTATCCAGTCTTCTTTCAGTCGGCAGGATGGTTGGTTCCATGTTTTTGCTATTGTAAATAATGCTGCTATAAACATGCGTGTGCAAGTATCTTTTTCATAGAGTGATTTGAGTTTCTCCAGGTATATTCACAGAATTGTGATCGCAGGGTTGTACAGAAGGCTGATTTTTAGATATTTTAGGAATCGCCACACTGTTTTCCACAGAGGTTGTACTAGTTTACACTCCCACTAACAGTGTAGAAGTGTTTCCTTTTCCCTGCATTCTCTCCAGCATCTGTTGTTTTTGAGTTATTGATGATGGCCATCCTGATTTGATTTCTTTGAGCAGTGTTTTGTAGTTTTCATTGTAAAGGCTTTTCACTTTTCTGGTTAGGAAGATGCCAAGGTATTTCATTTTTGTGTGTGTGTGGCTATTGTGAATGGGATTTTATTTTTATTTTTGTAGAGATGAGGTCTGGCTATGTTGCCCAGGTTGGTCTTGAACTCCTGGGCTCAAGCAATCCTCCCACCTCAGAGTCCCAAAGTGCTGGGATTATAAGTGCAAGGCACCTCACCTGGCCAATATTTTTATTTGACTTTGGTACTCCAAAAACACACACATACAAATACACTTGACCACTCAAATATATACATAAGCATGCAGTATGGTCACTCATATACTTAAACACATGGAAATACATACAGTCTTGTGCCACATAATGACATTTTGTCCCCAACAAACCACATGTACAACAGTAGTTCCATAAGAGCAGTCAACAAATACATGAAAAAATATTCAGCCTCACTAATCACTAAAGAAATGCAAGTTAAAACCATACTGAGATATCTACCACCTAACTCCAGTCAGGCTGGCCGTCACCAAAAACTCAAAAAAATAACAGATGCTGGAGAGGATGTGGGGGAAAAGGAATACTTCTACATTGCTGGTAGCAATGTAAACTAATGCAACTTTTGTGGAAAACAGAGTAGCAATTCCTAAAAGATCTAAAAATCATATGACCCAGCACTCCCCCTTCTAGGAATATACCCTGAGGAACTCAAATCATTTTGCAAAAAAGATACTTGTGCACACGTGCTTATTGCAGCTCTAGTCACAATAGCAAAAACATGGAACCAACCGTGCTGTCCGTCAAAACGGGACTGGATTTTTTTAAATGGTACATATACACAATGGAATATTACAGAGTCATAAAGAAGGACAAACATATGGACTCAACAGCAACTTGGATGGATTTATAGTCTATCATACTCAGTGGTCAATCACAGAAACAAAGAACGGAGTATCACATGTTCTCATTCATAAGCGGACCCTGAACATTTACCATAATACTATAAGAAAGGGACTGGCAGTAGTGGGATACTGCCAGGGTGGGGAGGGTACACAACATCATTAAGGGTTTCTGATCTCAAACCAGGCAAAGTGGGGGCCAAACAGAGGCCCAAACTTTACCTGTATGATGACCACTTATATACCTAACACTGAATTGTACCCCACATCTTTAAAATTAAGTTTTAAAACATATTATAATGGCCGGGCTCGGTGGCTCAGCCTGTAATCCCGCGCCTTTGGGAGGCTGAGGTGAGTGGATTGCCTGAGCCCGCGGGTTCGAGACTCGCCTGGGCAGCAAGACCTCATCTCTACAATAAATCAAAAAATCAGCCGGGCGTGGTAGTGCATGCCTGTAATTCCGGCTACTCAGAAGGCTGAGGAGAAACGATCGCTGGAGCCCAGCAGGTCGAGGCTGCGGTGGCCGGAAGCGGCCACTGCACTCCAGTCTGGGCGACAGAGTGAGACTCCAACTCAAAAAAAAAAAAAATATTATAATGGAGCTGAAAAATTCGTATTACCTGAGGACACTGTTGTAGTTGTACCACTGAAGCACAGTGCATCAAACACATGTTTATAGGGATGCTGATATAAGCAAACCTGTCACACAGTAATTTATGTAAAAGTATAGCAAATACAAGACAAGTGGGACCTCATCAAACTGATGAGCTTCTGCAAAGCAAAAGAAACCATCAGGAGAGTAGGGAGACAGCTCACAGAATGGGAAAAAATATTTGCCAACTGTATATCTGACAAAGGCCTAACATCTAGGATCTACAAGGAACTCAAATGCACTAAAAGGAAAACAACAATCAGTTCCATTAAAAAGTGGACAAAAGATATGAATAGACACTTCTCAAAACAAGATATGCGGGCAGCCAACAGACACATGAAAAAGTACTCAGCCTCACTAATCACCAGAGAAATGCAAATCAAAACCACATTGAGATACCACCTAACCTCAGTAAAAATGGCCAT